TTTCTATGACTCGGCGGCGGCGAGTGAAAAATGACAAAAAACGGCGGAGGCGGCGGCGTGTACCTCTAATTGGCACCCGCATTATATCCTGTAATTAAAGTAATTAATTTAATTTTTTTTTTTTTTAAATGCCTTTCAAAAATATTTTCGAATATAAACTTTATCTAACCTTTTTCATTTGACACCTACATTGCATTTAACGTATTTTATTAATTTAACTATTCGATACAAATCTTTCTTAAATGACTTTCGTGTGACGCTTATGTTTGCATATTTAATTAAATTAAATTTAACTTTAATAGCAGGTGGCAACCTGCCTCCAAAATATTTTCAAAATAAAACCGTCTTAGGTCCCCCTTCGCTTGAAGATCACATTGTAACATTTTATTTTAATTAAAATGAGTTTTGGTTTTTCAAGGTGGCAACCCTTTTCAAAAATTCCTTCAAACTTATAATGCCATGGACTAATTATTTTATGTTTATAATTTGACTGCGTACTTTAATTGATTTTAACTTTTTGAACAGATGAATACAGGTTATAAACTATCCGTTGTCTTATTTTATCCAAATTTGTAAAACGGTTTTAGCCTGCAGAAGTGACAAACATACTCACCCACAAGCTTTCATATTTCTTCCATATACAAAAAATCGCTCATACCTTGTATGGAGAAAAATGCGGCTCTAGCAAAAAAAAAAAATATTAAAAATCAACGCGATTTTTACCAAATTGAAGGCGAGACTTACTGTTACTGATTTATGATAATAATATAATGAAAATCGTTCAGATTATAAAAAAATTATTAAAGATAAAAAAATGTTCAACAAAAATATATGTCAACTTCCTATTTTTGCAATTTTGGTATTGTATGCATTAACATAAGTAAACCAATTAGTGTTTCCATACTCATTTGCATAAACAAAATTTTTCCACGGCGATGGAAAATAATAGATTTCCCATTCGAGCTACCGAAATTGTTCCTAAATTTGCAAAAATTCACAAACTATAGCTAATATTAAAAAAGATTAGAATATTTGAAAGCTAGGATTGTTCTATACCGAAAAAACTATATCCCTATTTTTTTATTTTGAAATGAAAAAAAAAACAAATTACGGAGTGCTCAAGGCGCTCAAAGTTTTTCATGTATTTTTAGAAATAGTGTATAAATCTTGAAAATCAATATTTTTGGATCGGAAAACTCGGTCGTATCCAAGAGATTCCCAATAATAATACCCAATTGTTTCTTTGACCATTTTTTTATGGTAAAATTATTTTATAGGTCCACCAACCCCCAGAAAATGCAATGGGGGGACCAATAAAAAATCTTTAACATTAAAAAATGGTTAAATAAACAACTGAATTTTAACACTGGAAGTCTCGTGAAGAGAACCACAGTTTTCCGATCGAAAAATATAGATTTTCAAGAATTTTATACCATTTCTATGAAAAGTTGTTTTTTTCCTATATAAAATACATGGAAAACTTTGAGCGCTTTGAGCACTCCCTAAATATTTTTTCATTTCAAAACAAAAAAAATGTGGGTATATTTTTCTCGATACAGAACAATCCTAGGAGGTGGCGGCATTAAATTTCCGACCCTATTTTTTTGGACCACTCTAATGTACATACACGTATTTATGTAAGTGCATACATTTGTAAGCAGAATTAAATTATGCATATGTTTCTTGCAAACAACGCATTTATCTTTTATATACCTTTATTTATTTTTTATTTCTTGAATACAGGAACATCCACATGTGAATAAATAAAGTTTTCTTAGCCAGATGTGAATATATGTATGTATGTAATTTTCATGCTTTTTTTCTCTTTATTTGCAGATGAACGCCAGGACATACAAAAGAAGACCTTCACAAAATGGATTAATTCACATTTGCTTAAAGCCCAGTGCACACCAGTGATCGATTTGTTTGAGGATTTACGCGATGGCCATCGTTTGTTGGCATTGCTTAGTATACTCACTCAATCACAGATGGTAGGTGAAACTAATTTGCCATTTCTTGCTAACAATTATAATATTATCTAATAAAAAGTGAATAGAAGTCGGAGTGTGAATTAAGGCTAACACGTGAATGTATGGATTTTTGGGTATTTGTCGGTGCCTTTTCCACCCGTTTCGCTCTTCGATGCTCCGCTCATATTAACAGCCTCATTGCGTGAGTCGTAAATAATGCTAAATTGCACGACATCCGCATTGTCGACTGTCGTGCCGAAATAATATAAACGGCGAAAATCGTCGAAAACTATGTGGTGCTGCCAAGTTTTTCCGTTTTAATACACTAGTCGAGTGGAAATTTTAGGCAATGGCGTGAAATTTTCGATGCGATTCGACTCTCGAAAAACGACTTGCATTCGACACGTCTTTTGCAATGAGGCTGTGAATTTCTTATCTTAGATCTAATTCGCTGTCTCGGTAGCCTGTTGGCATAGATTTCCGAAAGTAATTTTTACACGTTTTTTAAGTGATGGACTTTTTACTGCAAATGTTAGGTCTCTTTAGATATTCTGGCCCTATTATGGTTGTCGACATCGACGTTGATGTAATTTTTTCATCAAAAAATAGCCCTCGTCGAGGAACACCTTTCCTCTAAAATGCTGTGGTCAGCGTAGCTGGAGTTGGACTTACGAGGGCTATTTTTTGATGAAAAAAACGACGTCGACGTGGATAGCTATTATAGAGCCGATTATATTATTATTAAAAAAAAACTCTAAAGAAAGGGACAAAAAAGTTAAGGCTAGTACAAAAAAATTAAAAAAAAAATGCTTTAGAAATCCTGAAAACTAACAAATCATGAAAAATGCATAATTGCTTTGAAAAACTAAGTACAAATTTTAAAGCACCCAAGCTATTTTAATAAAACCTCAGTCCGGAATGTGGGAACCATAGGTCTCTATGTACAAATTGATTATTCTTAGAACTTAGCAGAATTATGCTGTCATCAGATATGCTATTGAATCTCTTGATTGTTCTTATGGTATTCCACCTACTGCTCTCGAAGGAGTTGCTGAGGTAATTTGGAAGCATATGGCATACTAGGAAATATGACATGATATGAAATATAGTATATTTAGCAATATAGTATACTTGAAAATGTGATATGCTATGAAATATGGTATGCCATGAAATATTTTAGGCTATGAATTGTGGTATTTTATGAAATATGTTATGCTATGAAAAATGGTATGCTATGAAATATGGTAAGCTATGGAATATAGCATGCTATGAAGTATAGCATAGTATAAAATATGGCATGTCATGAAATATTATATGCCATAAAATATGAGTGACAACAGGATAAGTATTTTTAATTCTCGGAACCATTTTATCAGTTATGCGCCATTTGTCTGGTGGATGGTAAGTTTCTCTGCAGTGGTACCTTGAAAGCTCTTGATGCACTGCCACACTAACCAGCTCTTTGAGTCTCTATATAAAGATGGAGAGATCTTAAGGGTTGAAAGAAATGGATGTCGGAAAGGCACTGAATGGTAGGACACAACAATTGCACCTTGTAAGAAAGGCCTAATTTTTCTATCGGGGAATATGCCTCGGCATTTTAAACTGAAGTATATGCAATGCTTAGTGCAGGGGTGTAATAGAAATAACTCTTACGGTCTACTAAGATATGAAGGTACCTGCATTTATTGAAGAAATTGCATACATCTCATAGCATTGCTGACTGGCCATTTATCATAGTGAAACTAATTGACAATCTCAATTCTGCACCTTTAGTTATGAGGAGGATGCTAGGAGTATAAAGCTTTTGCCTGCTTGTCAGCAAATTTGAGAAACTTCCCAGAAAATGTCCTTCCTTATGTTGTTTTATTGCCAACAAATTATTTAGTAAGATAATGACACTTCGAAATGTAGGGAAATAAGTAAAATGATGAGACGGGTGTGAAACAGGCAGCAACGGCAGCACAAACTGACTTCAACAGTTGCAAGTCATTGCTTCATATTCACACTACGCATGTCAATTATCCTGCCGAGTATAGGGAAAAGGAAATGTGAATCGAATTAGATAAGGTAAAAGGTACTTGATAGAAGAGAAGGATGTGCAAAAGAAGCGGCAAATATTTCGAATTGCATAGAAATAGCAAAGTCAAGGCTTTCTGTGAATGCAAATTGCAGGTAAATAATGAGTGACAGGTGGGATATGCGAAATCACACATACAGAGACAGGTGATGGAAATGTGTGTGGGTGTAAATGAGTGTGAGTTGAGTGCAAGTGAGTGTAGATGCAGGTGTGGCTTTTCATGATTAAGGTTAAAATAAAGAGCTTGCTGATTAGATAGACTGACGCAAAGCAATTTGTATATATTTTGCTTGCATTTTATTTACATTGCTTTTCTATTTTCATTCATTTCCTTTCATTATGCAATCCTCTTATGCAATTGCGCTTCGCCACATCAACTCGAACGCGCGCATCCACGCTGAACAGAAACCTGAGAGGGGTCGCATGCGCGTACATCACATCAACAACATTAACAAAGTTATCCAAGTGATACAGGAGCATGGCGTCAAGTTGGTGAATATTTCTAGCGATGACATAGTCGCTGGCAATCCGAAATTGACGCTTGGCCTGATCTGGCTCATTGCGCTTGAGTTCAATGGCCAAAATCTAGTCAAGAGCCAGTCGAGCAATGGCGTGGAGAAATCGTTGCTTGCGTGGGCGCGTCAATTTGCCGAACCATATGGCTTGCAGCTGCAGGACTTTTCCACCAGTTGGGCTGACGGACGCGCCTTTCTCATTATACT